TCCACTGCAGCTTTGGCCTGCATTTTCTGCGTCCATACAGTCAAGTAGACTATGTGATACCGCTCGCCGACGTGCTGCGGTGGCGTAGGCGTTAGCGCACTTGACTAAGCAAGGGGTGATCGCTGGATCGATTCCACACCCCTACCCCATTTTGCGGACGTCAGTGCGTACTTCAGTCATGCCGTGAAGTTGTGGAAAAGGAGCAGGCCACAGGAATCGAAGAAAAAAACGTCGCCTAGGGCCAAATAGGGAAAACTGCGTGTATGGTTGGGTTTGTCGGAGAATCTCAAGAATGCAAGGCCTGGAGGTCTTTTTAACTATGACTTTTTGGTAATATGCCAGGAGTACAAATCTAAGCAGCTCAACAAGCAGTGTAGAAATTATCGACTCAGCCTTTAGTAGGTCCTGTTCCCAAGGTAAGGTGGACAATTCGAGACGATATGAAGGATTTGTAGGCTGTGTTGGTTACGCTCAGATTGCCAGCAATTGCAGAAAAGTGTCCTAGTCGTACGATGAGGGCAACGATGACAGCAAGGTTGAGGGTAGTAGGCAACAATGCGTTTGCGAATCCAATTTCTGATGCCGGACCAACTGTTTCCAGTGAGGAACTCGATTGAAAATGTCCTTCTTGCTCCTCAAAATTCAAACCGCGCGCGTTGGTTCCGTTGGTTCCGTATTACCTACTCTGAGGCAGAATTCTACATTGACTGCTGTACAACGTACTTAAGTGCCAGTGTTCCTGACACCTGGAATAATACGTCCATCTGCACAGTTTCGATGGTTTTTCTGTAGCCGTCTGATGTTTCCGTTGCTTGTCGCAAATATGAAGTTCAAAGGTGCAACATCTACTTTTCCCTCAAATAAAACTGAACCCGGGCGCATACATTTCTCGGTTACAAAAGAGGGGTCTGTGAGACAGCCGGTTAGACGGCCGGAATTCATAAGAATCAAAAGTTTGCTTGGGCAAACAACTACATTTGCTGTGTTGGTCATAGGTCGCCGATCATTGTCAATGACGCCATTAGTTAACCATTTTTCATACACTAACTTGGGAGTGGCTGCTGGACCGTCTCATCTCCTTTGGCTCTACAGCCTCTCGACTGGAATGACGGACCACACCTTGTGAGATTCTGCAATGTTTCAGGCGGACTGAATGTCAAACTAGTGACTTGAATCCAACCAATCGGATTTAAAACGACATCATCGACGTATATATACTTGGACAGAATTGTGTTTATGGCATTCGAGTGGATTTCAATTAGCTTATACTTGCTGTTGTCCATATACCAACGTCTCTTGCTATTAATTCGTATTTTCTCCATCGCCTCCTTTCCTGTCTGCTGCCGTGCACCCTGAGGATGCTGCTTCACTGGCCCACTCGCTTTAACTGAGCATGCGCGCCGTTGAAGTGGGATGAAACAAATCGGTCGCAGAATATGTGCCGTGGTCGCTGAAGAGTAGCACAGCTTAAACGGTCCATAAAGGGCATTTTACTCAAAAATATGAATTAAGAATTTCATACTTAAAGACAAATGACGTTTTCGCAGTTCAGCAAACTTGGATTTACCTATTACCAGACTGCAATTCCCAAATTGCATGTCTTCAAAGCACAAGTCGGTTCAGTGTTATTCCTCATTTCCTTCCCGGCTGTGTACCTTCCGATCGTGAAATCAATGGTCGCACTTTTGTCCTTTCACTTATTCCAGAAATGAGCCAGCATCTCAAGAGGTTGCATGTTCTCTTCAAGTACATCACAAATGAGGACGTAGAAACCTAAATGTATGTTTCTGCTACTAGTCCGTGGTATGCGGTGCCAGTTCACACCCGGCCATAGTGTTTACCTGCATCCAAATGAGATCCATTAAATCTCCATGTACTGGAGATGCTCAGGTTGATAAGATGCCTTGTTGCGGAGAGCCAGCATGGCCATGTCTGACGTACTTATTCAAGGTCCCGTTACGTCAGTTTACCTCACTTTCGCAGCAAGCGGTTCCATACACGCTGACCTGAAGCCGCTCGACCGACTTTAACCCGAACGCACGTGAGTCCGCAGAGTCGCATTCGCCTATGCGCCACTTGAGCATACCACCTCCCTGCGAATGCCACCTCAGCCACATAAACACGACCCCTCGGCAAACGCAACACACACCAAGTGGACGCCATTTGAATTTGATCCGCGAACTTACAAAAGCGGCTGCCACCACTGTCTTACGAAGGCTCAGACATGACTGGACGCAGTCAATATCAGGCCTGGCTTCACCAGCGGCCACCGCTGCCTGAGAGGACAAATCAGCTTCCTCTATAAAGTAAACACCTCACTCTAATGTATTTATCTTACAATTCGAAATTTTACCTGCGGATCGTAGTGCTCTGAGTACGCTCTCGTTGTCGAAACGCACCAAATTAGTGTCATGGACGTAATAAAAACACGCAACTTCCAGAAATGGCTCAGCAAAAATGTCCTCAAATCCCTACTCGACATAACCTTTCTGTCTTTCCTGCGTTACTCACATTTGTCCTCGAATAGGAAGACGAGGTTGTCGACGCCGTCACGAATCGAGATGAATGCTATCAACAAAACTTAACCATGCAAATCAAGACCAAATTCCAATCAAGTCGTGTGTAGCAACCGCCCATATGCATTGCTATCAGAACACATCCTTCTTTTGTCCGAGATACTCCTTCCACCCTCCTACATTTTTGTTGAGACCCTGGTCAAGTGTTTTTTGGAGCAGGGAGTGTGGTGGTATGATTAACTGCGGGTCTTTGTCGTGCTAGCCATCTCTGTTCTTCTTAACTTAGTCATGACACCGAGTCCCGTTGACGGAGGAGTGTAGTAGATGTTGCACATGTCCACTATCACTGCAAATTAGGTTCCTGCTCTCACCCTGTCGTGGAGCACACGCTGGATATCGTCGAGATCGTCAGTCGAACTCTCGTGTTGACAGTTCCGAAACCCGTCATGAATTCTCACCTCAAGAACTCCAGATTAATTCCAAATTTTTTTAGAAACACTCACTATCATGTAACCAGGTGTGTTTAATTTTTAATCGGACTGGCCGACCCTAGAAAAAAACTAGACTCAGTGGAAAGCCTGATAAAGAAAACTCTTTAGTTTTAAAGCGAAAGACGGCAGCGGACAGTTCCAAGTTTACTGAGTCTATTGCAGGATCTGTTCGGATTCCGACAATCAGAATAATTTAATTCAAGAAGGGACTTCGCTGCGACACAGCTGAACCTTTGTGGATTCTGATTCCAAGAGGAGCTCGGAAGTTGCCAATGTAAGATTCATCGGCTGAATCCCATATAATGACATGGTTCATATAAAATAACCAGGCAGTTGCGGAACCTGAGTAAAGTGCCTGACGCATTTTTCGACCGGAACGCATGTTCCGGAACCCAGAGTGTCCCGGTATTACGCCCTTACGATTGTTTTAATTGGCTATTTAGACCCCCAAGCAACCAGACTGAAGGTCGATCGTCATGAAGCGACCTCAACCAGAGCGACCCCGACAGAAAGTGTACGAAGCGATTGCTTCAATTGTAACGAACTTTTATTTTTTATGGACATCACAGCACGTGTGACCAACTTTCCAAGGCGCCTTGGGGATTACGAGGGCAGGATTGTATGTTTTTTCGGCTATTCACTGGCGAATCCCCCTACTGCTTCTAAAAATCCACGGAGGCAAAACGGGGCCGACAGCTTGATAGATGGTTGGCTGCGGACATTCGTGTAACCTAGATACCAATTCGAACATCTGTCTGGTTTCCAGAATTAGCTTGAACAGCCCGCCCCAATTATCATGTTATTTTTGTACCTTCTAGCCATGAAATCTACTATCCGTGTTGACATGATTGTGCGCCAGCTTTGCTTATGCGTTTAGCTTCAGTATCTACCTCCATCTTTTGTCAGTGCTCATTACCAACTTTTTATGGGCCATGAAGAAAGGCATTTGAAATCCCCCTGCGAGCAATACCATGTTGAGATATGTTTAGAAACCCTGTCCCCAATACCCTACACATGCTGGTACTTCGATTGACTGCGTTTCAGCTGACTGGATCCGAAACGTCTTCAATGTTATCGGCACATTTTTCCCTAGTGCTTATCACTGTGGGAACTAATTTTTTCAGGGATTTGTGATGACGCAAAGTTCGGTCGAATTTACTAGAAGAATTTTGCCATATCTAGTGAATGACGACGGATCTTGTTTCCTGTGTGCATTCAAAATGTCTTGCATTTTTGGTTTTTTCTTCGTCTTTTTTTGCCGAAACTTGATCACTCTGGTTTTGCACAACACTTTAAATTTTGCTGTTTCTGTTAGTATCAGGTTCTCAGGCCTTCAGAATAAGGAATTTAGTCCATAGAATCTGAACTGCCATAACTATTAAGTCCATTAACCCACCACAACGGAAATCTCGAAAACTCCTTCTCTATGCGTTTCTTTTTAAAAACATTCTGTACGTTATCCTATGTAGTTCTTCTAGATACACAAGGTACCATAGACGGAGATCCAAGTTATAGGTGTACGGTCACACCTGGTCCATCCTGGTACTCGGATGAATGTCCCGCAAACGTACACTGACGAGGATACCCTGTTACACCTGCACAGCAGCAAGTAACATTCATGAAGATATAGCACAGGGCGACGCCAACTTGGCCCAAGAATTTCGGTACATCTATTCCGATAAGATCTCTCTATGAGCAGCACACTGACAGTCCCACCGAAATCATCGACGAACCTGATGGTGCCCAACTCTTGCATTTGACTCACTGAATTCATGTTCAGTTTGATAACTACAACCCCCTAACTGTCCTTCATATGCATACTTTGCTAGGTGAGGGGGTCCGCTATGCGTGTGATTGCGGTTTCGCAGCCGGAATTTCTGAAACAAATTTGTTACTCACTCCCTGTTGAGAGGGAAACATGTAGTCTCGAACGTGGCCCATGATAATTCGGATTATATTCTCTGTAAACAAATTCCGGACACACAGTGGAATTTGGTGGCTGCTAAGTTATCCTGACAGTCCTATTTCCGTGTAACACCGCTTATCCCCTCTTGGGGATTGATAGAGAGAAAAGACGTTCAAAATCTGCTCACTAAACATGCCATCAGTAGGCTGGTTGATATGTGCAATAAACAACAGCCACCACCCCCATCTCAGTGTATCTTCAAGGACTGACAGCCTGGCACTGCTCATTATTAATTATCTTCTGCATCAACTTCTTAGTGTTCTGACGGCATCAGATGTGTGCTTGTCCACGAAGCCACACCTATATACTATTCTACATTTTCTTTTTCACTCTACTTAATATAATGCCGATGTTTTGAAGGAACTGCCGACGCTGAGGTGTACAACTACTCATTTGGACACATTGAATTTTAAAAGCCATCTGTTTGTACAAGCGCTCACTTTGTCAACTTTCGATTGCGACTTCTTTGGATTATCACCAAAGTTGACTTCATTCCATATTTCTATGTCACCTGCAAACACGCACGTCATGAAATCCAATGCGCTTATGCAATCACTGACATAAATCAGGAAGAATAGTGAGTCTAAAGCAGAACCGTGTGCGACAACACTTTCCACTTTTGTCATTCCAAGGTAGAATCACTAGCAATAACTCTCTGCAATTTAAAAGATAGGGAACTTTCGATCTATCTAAGCATTTTTCTCGAATTCTCACGTCGTAAATCTTCTGTAAAATAAGCCTGTGTGGTACGCTATCAAAGGTCCTCTTGAAGTCAAAAATTTGACATCTCCTGAGTAACCCCTGTCTGTGAAGTTTGTCCATTCTTCACGCGAATTAAGAATACTCGTTATATAAGAACGTTCTTGTTAAAAGGCACGCTGGCCATCGCATAATATTTTACGTTCTTACAGCCATCCTATTAAATGCCTTTTAACGCTGCGCAATTTAAACTGACATAACAACATTTTTTGCAGTCAAGTCATGGACCCCTTCATAGATCGAGGTGATGGATGCACGCTCACATTCTTCCCCCAGAGCGCCTTCTCTAAAAGACTTTCGAAACACGGTAGACAGTAATTTACACAGTTCATGGGCAACTTCCCGAAGTGTTAATCCAGGAATGCCATCCGGGCACAGCGATTTGACAGGCTTCAGTCGGAGTAGTTCAGCCGATTGGGTGGAGGAGAAGAAGGATGAGGAGAAGGAGAAGGAGGAGGAGGAGGAGGAGGAGGAGGAGGAGGAGAAGGGTGAGAGAAGGAGGAATACGGAGAGAGGGGTGAGACATTACTTGACATACGGGTGAAAGAACAGAAAAAAATTGGCTCTCATTTGCAGACGATCCGAAAGACATTTGAAAGGAGGGATTCTTTGACCTGGTCGTCAGTCTCCATTGCTCCGTCTAGGGAATTAAGGACAGTGATCTGAGCCCGATTTATTTAGTGTTCCTTATGCAATCTGACAGGATTTTGAGGTGTCCCCGCGAAGTTTGCAATGTGTCCACTTCGAGCTTCCCTCGAAGTTCAGTAACCTTACTTTACAAATTTTGCGTTGTCTCTTATATTCCTGCAAGTTCCCCTCAGAACCGTTGACTTTTTCACGCCTCCTAAAACGATTTCCTCTGTTGAATTAGCTATCAAGCTTGAGTTTATCCACGTAGGGAGTTTTTTGATTATTTCTCTTCTGTGAGGACATTTGAGGTCAACGAGTCTCAACAGAAACCAACTGAAAGTCCTCCAATTGTCATTTATTCCACCATGCAATTCTGTTTTCCATGACACCTCTCTGACACACCTATTCTCATAAGTGTGGTATTCCCCCCCCCCCTCCCGCCCCCATCCCCAAATACATCCCTCCCACTTATTAGTCGAAGTTAGTTTGAAAAACAAAGCAAGTTATGAGAATGGCATCGTGATAAAAAGTTTTGTTAAATAGCGGTATGCCATCGGACGCGTTAACGGCTCGACGCAGTAAGCGGATACACTGATCCCTAACAGTTCCACTTCCCATACCGACTGTGTACATCAGCCATAGCTGTTAACTCGCAAGTGGCAGAGATTGGTCTATCATTTCTCAACAGTTGGTATCCACTATGTGATATTTTGGACTCTTCAGTATCTGCAGACAGACTTATTTCTGCGAGAACCATGATGTCTGGTTTAGTTTCATTAAATTAGTTTCTAAGTCCGCCCAGTTTTTTGAATAGGCTTTATAATTCGCGGAAGTGACATTTAATGACTGTCTTCGTTGTGACGAGTTTTGTCCATTTGAATGAATCCTTGGTCTGAATTTATGGACATCTTTGGCTTTCGGTCCTTCATCTCCTCTGCCCATCCTAGCCCTAATTTCTACGCTCAGTTCCTTCATTTTCAGTCTTTTCCTCGGTTCTTAGTTTGACTGAAAAGCATCTCTTCATGCGATCCCTGTGAGGCCATTCTTCCTTCTAACAGAGACGCTGCTTGAGTTTCTTTTTTTAAAATAATTTTCAGAGGCCTTGGCAATGCTGTCAGGTCACGGCCTAGTTGGAGAGTTTCTAGTACGGTGAAAAGTTCTTCACCCATTAGGTCAACACTGATAGATCCATGAAGAAGATCAAGGTCGTGTGTCACCCGTTCGTGCGGAGTTCATGGCGTAGATTTTGAGCCATAATTCACATCAGTCTCGCTTAAGATTTAATCGGAAGTTGTCTATTTCACCGTCCGCGTCAGGACGATGTCCCGCCACTGCGACATATCGACATCTTTCATCTTTGGAGTTCCGAGGCCAAATTAGTGCATGACGTGCTAGCTTCGGCCTAGGAACTTTCACAGGCGTAGCCCTGCTGCAATGTACTGTACACAAACAGCATGGCTGCTTCCACAGCGAACTGTAGAACACACACCCTAACTGAGTTCGCCTTGTGATGAAATAGAGTGACAGCGTCACCCTCCAGAATTAACAATAAGCCCTTTTTGTAGTTTCTAGCAAGTCGTTTGAGGTTCACACTGGTATTTCCATCTTTAGTGTTATGTGATTTGGTTGGTTTAGTTACCGTTGAGGATAACGAAGTCTGCTTTGTATTTTTTATATTAGCGTCGAATTCCTCCTTGTTCCGCGGAAGTGACATGCCGGGAACTCCCTCTGTAACATAACCAGCTTTCTCTTCCTGACTCACTTTCAGTTTTCCATAACGGTAATTTCCTTAAAAATGTGTCCGTCGCTAGTCGGTTGGAGATTTGACCGATCTTTAAAGATTTTATTTTGCTGTGCTTTGGAAATGAAAAGATAATGTTAGTCAGTAGGCCTTGGGTCTCTGCTAGTGATTAAACTCGCTTGTTGAGGTCCCCGCAGCCGAAAAAGCCATGAACTTACACGGAGTTTGTTTCATTATTCATTGGGTTTTCAGTGCCTGGTTCCAGTTCACTGACCCTTATTTCCTGTTGCGTCTCCTTGGCCCCACTATACTTAACCACCTTGAGCTCAATGACCCAGTTGATACTTTTTCACAAGAGACAGCCAATGACTTGAAAATAGTCCGCAGCTGATGTGCATATTTGACAAATTATTCTGATCACCTGAGAACCGTTCTCTCATAGTGTAGTGGTGGTAACCCAAAATGCCGGTGGTCCAACCTTCGAGGACAATTTTTCATGACTGAATGGCTCGTAGCGGAGCGTCCCCTGACGTTTCTATCTGCTCGAGAATTGTGCTGGATATTGTCCGCTTGCTATCAGGATAAAAAAATTGGCAACCGTGATCAAATAAGAAAAAAACGGCACAGTCATACATAGCCTTCGATGCAGATCCTAAAAAGACAGTCAAGTAGGGTGTCTTGTAGAGGTGGGCGGATTATTGCAGACCACTGTTAAGTAATAATTTGAGATACACCTTACCTGCGTGAGTTGAGAGGAAGCTGTTCTCGAAAGGGTTCTGGTAGGATTGTACCTTGAGCACAGTAGAAGATAAATTCATAACCCACAGTTTCCAAGAATCGCACACTTTCGAGCGGATACATTCGAAGATGGCATAGTGTGTTCTGAGGTCGCAATTTTTCCCACCTGACGAATTGTCTTCACTATACTGTTTACTCAAATCGGTAAAACTCGGAGAGCTGAATGTTTGAGGCCGAATTTGAAGGGAGCGGGCCATCTTAGTTACATTCTATGAATATCGAAGGCAAAGCGATAGGACGACAAGATGAGGCCAAAAAATTGTGATGGAACTGTCATGTCGTAAGTGTGGACGGCGATCGCCTCATCGAGTAGCATTATTATGGCGAAGTAACTGAAGGCGGTTGTAGAGAAGGCGGGCAAAGTGTCGTTACGCGAACACTTTGAACACCTCTACTAAGTATTTTTAAACCAATGCGAAGACCTCGGAGGACCACGATCAAGATCGACAGACATAACGTCTTGCCATAAAAAACGGAGCAGTCGTTATCGAGGCCAAATGCATAGTCGCTGTCCAGGCGAAGAGACACCCACAAAACTGGAGTGTCACGGACCAATGACGTGAACATTCAAACCCTTCTTTCGTGTTGACGTACGTTTCGGATACGTATCGGCCCCCTTCGACATCTGCGGGCCGAGTGTAATGTCAAAGTAAAATCCCACAATGCATCATCTCTCTTGTCATCACTATCGACATAAATATGGACCCAAATCCTAGCTGTCAGCATGAGGACTGTATAAACTCCTCACGCAGAAGCTTGGCCAGTCATTCGCGAATTCATCGCATGCATTATCGTTTTCATAAAGGTACCGTCGTTTGCTAAACTGTATTTCATCTACGTCAACAATATATGACCTGCTGTTCAAGACGCCCAGTCCTTTATCTGTGCCGAAGATGTCAAATGCATTTGTTATTTCTCGAAACTTCCTATGCAGTGTTGCTTAAAACAAACCAATTTCGATATCTTTGCGCTTGATCCGCAAAGCTCAGCATGGCTAACGTAATTCTCCCCCAAATGCTGCCACATGTGTTTTGTATCTATCCTATAAAAGCTATTTTGCTTATCATTTTCTAAGGTTTATTAAGAGAGGATTTCATAGTTTTAAGACAATATTCACACCCGCCTTTTCCTTGATGGTATCTTTTCTACAATTTCCATCGATACCATAGTCAGCCTACATTTCCCCACACAAAAACTCTACAACGGCCGATTTTCCTGTGATGTTAAGCAATGAATTTAGTTAAATATAATCGTTGAAATACCCATCGGTCCAGCTTTGAATGCCTTCATTCTTAGTTTATCGTACGCCAACTCATCACAATGAGTTTAAAAGGGGTACAAACACGGAAATGAAGATGTGGATTTTCATGTGGGAGCTTGTGTGGGCTTTGATGTTTTCGTCTTTCGGCAGAGGCGAATTTAACTTATTATTTTGGATACCATATCTGAGTTTTTATCCGTAAATTGTTGATATTTGCAAAAATGCGACTTCGGTATCCCCTCGCCCTACTTATTCCACTATTCTTTTCTTGCACCCGGTATTTGGTCCTGAAAACCCTATTGATACAAACATGAAATTCTGCGCAAGGTCTGGTCTGATTAAATGATGCATGAGTATTTCAAAAACTCAGGTCGTTACTTCCTTCGCAAAACAAATCTTTTAAACTGCCCGAAAAACTGCACTGTAAGTCTTCTAATACACTGCTTTTCTCGCGAAGCATTCGGATATCAGCAATCATGGTGAAGTTAACGACGGACCTCGTCGAAGGGGCAATGCAGCACACAAACCCCTTGAAAGATCGTGAATTAGATTTGCGGGGCTACAAAGTCCCCGCAATTGAAAATTTGGGCAGTACCCTCGACCAGTTTGACACTTTGGATTTTACTGACAATGAAATACGCAAGTTGGATGGTTTTCCACTGCTTTTGAGGTTGAAGGCCCTTATCCTTACCGAAAACAAGGTAATAAACGTTTTGAACACAAATTTTGTTTTGTTTACGTTTTCCGGATTTTTGCTTCCGATATGCAGATGACTTTCAGCCAGTTCCTGAAGACAGCAAACTAGCCTGGGGCCAGCCCGTACAGTTAATCTGGGGCTATTTTAGGGATTAAATGACTCCTCGCAGTAGTCCCTGCGCTCATAAATTGTCTGGCTGTCTTATCACGTCAGTGCCGTTCGTGACATTATGTCCAGGTTACTTAGAAGGCTGTGCTCGGTCAGCCGGTTAGTAATCGCACACAAACCCCGCAAATGTGAACTGATAGTCCAGGCAAAGTCAGGAGTTAGTGCAATTTTATCGAAATCCTGAGACTGCCTTGTTGAAAGTCTGCGGGCGTTTATGACTTCTGGTTTGTATTGCTTCCATGCCAATATACTCCTTTATATTCATTTAGATATACTGCCTCGTTCATTGGTGTAGATTTTGGGTGTTATTAACGACCTGCAGTATATCTCATTTACGGTTTCGCGCTAGCTTCTGTGGTTCGTCTTAGGGTTCAGTGTTTTCCACTCACTGCAAATTTGTCTCCGTAATTTACGGCCTTTCTATCATTAGTGTCTGTATGCTGTAGGCGCGCCGGATAGTAGCACAAGTGTTGACTGTCACGTCGACTTGAGGTGCTCTTATTCCACTTATGTATTTTGGTTTAAATACGGGAGTAAGATAAATATTTAGGGACTTGACAACTAGTCAGCACCTAGCCATTTGGGACAGTTTGCATCACGGGCGTTGACAATATCATGCCTTAACTATAGTGTCCAGTTCGAGCAATCAGATCCCTTTGTTTGCCATTAAGACAAAGTTGGGTATCACTATACGATCAAATATTTTGTTTTCTACGGTTTTTTATGAGTTAAGATAATCATGCTAGTGGAAATCATTTGCATCACCCACTTCTCATTAAAACATATAACGTCAGATGCACGCTTTTGACCTGTTCACAGCTTATGCGGACGCTCTAACAACCTCTAAATATGCTTGTTTTTCTGACTCGTTCACAAGCACTAGTCCTGTTTAACAAGTGAACTGGATTTACGCATGACCACTTATTGAACGGGCAACCGTCCATGTTACTGTTTCGTAACTTTGTCGACACTGGCGTATCCTAAACACCCTTACGACTACTTGCTAAGAATGACTGCGTTGCATTTGCAATCTCTTCCTTTCTTGGTTGTGACACGAAAACTGTCATTTCCTTCTGAACTATTCGTTGGGAGGCCAAACGACTTCGAGTCGCTGCCACTAATACGTGCTCACGCCAGAACCATTGTGGCCTTTCAGTGCATTCACCTGATTACGAGGCCCACGTCCGTCCTAAAATCGTCCTATGATTTCTGCATTTCTAAACGCTGGGACCATTCGTAATAATCGGGTGCGTGTCTCGCCCTGCACAAACCATAGCCCACGACATATTGTGGCACATGTTGACTGGGGCATTATAGCCTCCCTCGCCCTCCCTCCAGCACTGTTTTAAGTCCCGAGTCTGTTTTGGCGTTGAAATCAGAGGGAGGATGAGAATGGGGACACAGTTCTTCGCTTCCTTGTCATTTTCATGAACTACTCATTTTCATTTATGAATATGTTCCACGTCAAGAACAATAGATAAGGGCCTTGCGACCCATGAAGTTCCTGCCAACTACTAATAAACTGTCGTCTATCCGTTTTTAAAGGTTGCCTGTTTGTGTCATCATACTCTATTATGGGAAAATTGGTTAATAGTTCAACAAAAGTCCCCCCTGTCCCCCTTTTGCGCCTGAAGTCCTTTGATAGTCCTTGTTAGTTTGCAATCAAGACGCCCTCATCTCTCAAAGTCTCTCTTGTCCTTTATCATTATTTTTACACTAGCTCGAAATGTTCCACATGCTTGATGTTAACTGCAGCTTTGTTTCACAGATCGTGCGTATCGGGGATGATCTTGTCTCGTCAATACCAAATCTGGAGACTTTAATTCTAACAGACAATAATATCGCTGAACTGAAGGATTTGGATCCCCTTGCCTCGCTGACAAAACTTAACTTCCTTTCACTGATTCGGTGTCCAGTAACAATGAAACTCAACTACCGCATTTACGTGATCGGTCGTATTCCGCAGGTACGCTTTCTATCTCAAGTTTATTGTAAGTTCCTCGTTTCTGTAATGCTTCGGGCGTTGTCATTTTTTTGCTTTTCGTTAATCTGGCTGAATTAAGTCGGTCATCCTTTGATGACAGTCATAACGCTTTCGATGGTTTTGTTCAACGTTTCCTATCTTTGCTTATGCGTCAGTCACAATTATCGCCAATTTTGCTGACCCTGAAAATCATCTATGCCATTTAAAGTGTACGTTGACCGCAGACTATAAACACTTGTGTGACCTCAGGGTTATCTGTATAAGTAATGACCAACCCTAAAAAGGGACAAAAGGTTGTCTACATTGCAGTCATGGAGAGCCGAGGAATTTTCTGCACAGACAGGGTTTACAGTTCCGACCAGCGTCTGAGCCTCGAAACTAATACAAAAATTGACGGTTCCAGGTGTGGTTTTATTCGGTGCTGGGCACTATTTACCACTTAATTCGTATAAGTCATCCTCATCCCAAACGGTGACTAGCCGCGTCTGAAAGTGCCGCAAATCCTAATGACCCCCACATATCTACTACTGATTCTAAGTGTTGACATCAAGACTTGGAAGCACTAGTGCCGCATCAAAATACTTCCGAAGGAGCTGCTAGCAGGATCTGATTTCTAGGCTTTTTAAACTTGAGCGGATATTAGCTTGCGATTAGTAACACCACTCTTACAGCTCAGGTACCGCTCGTTAGGAGGCTTGACTTATTGATCCTGGGGTTTAGATACCCTATCCTTGTAGTACAAAACGCTGCCGAGGACAATATCGTAAGCAAGATTTGACGAGGGGAGGATGGAACTAGACGTGCCTGCAGTTTGCATTATGCAGCACCGAGTCTTGCCCCCATAAGTATTTAAAAGGTTGGATGATTTCATGAGAATCCTGGCAAATTCTAACTATTTATTTCATTAAATCTATGAATACACCTAGCGGTACGGAGTTGGTAAGGGGAGACTACAGTGCCTGCTTCCCGTTGGCGCAATTTCACTGAACAAAAATCATTTATTACCCCCTCTTTGATCACCAGCATGTTAACTAGTACGACTGCTTCGGCAGCCTAGAAGGTCCTCGTCACTCTTCTTTTCATACCACGTTGTTGGTCTGAAAACTGTTAATTTTACGCGGTAGTCCATGGCTAATTCACACGCTAAGTCTTCCAGAGGGGCGTCTTCCACGTCGAGTTGAATTCGCTAACTCTGAATCCAAACTGAAGTGCAACCGACTCGGTTTTGCGACGATGCAAATTGGAAAAACAAAGACCCTGCTGCATCAAATTAACAGGAGCTCTAGGTTGCAGTAGCAGATAACTCTGCTCTACCCACTGAAATTCCTCTACTCGTGTTACTGTGCTGAGTCCAACAACAGCCTCGTATTATGTCTTTATGCCCCCTACTCCTAACTTCCACGTCTTGCATTTCTGTGACTCGTGGTCGCATGAATGGCATTCCCTATTACCATCATTTCTTTAGGATTAGTTCGTAACCCCTTCCCGCAAACTTGTGGATTTATAACAGTTCTCCCATTTTGTCGGGGTTATCTTTCAGCACGCCTACGTCTTTCTATCCCCATCATATCGCGTTTCAAAGGCCCTTTTTAGCGTTCCGCGTTCTCATTCTTTTCTATGCAAACATAGTCGTTCTCTGCCTTGTGAAGAAATTTGCGCTAGCCTACAGAATCTTAGTTTTTTAGCCACCTGTTAAACAGTAAAAGTACAGCTAAACGCTATGTCCAATAAGGACGGAGACATGTTTGAGGGGCGATGATATTTGTTAAATGCGCCAACCGCCCAGGCTGGATAAAGTCGGATGTACTTCTAAGAAATATTGGGTTTGGGGCCAGTGGTCACAAGCGTCCACCCGCCTTCGCCACACAACTGCGTCCTCATGCTGTCTCCCTAACTTTTTTAAAACCATCTTTATTCTCTGCCCTCCGGATTTCAGTAGGGTTTACTTTTTCGAAAAACAGATTCGTTTCCTCGACTTCCGACGGGTAACCCTAGCGGAGAGGAAACAGGCTGCGTCATTTATGAAACACCTCGCTCCCCTACCGGCCTCCTCCGCAGTTAACGCCGGCACCAACAACGCCAGCACAGCAGCAAGAGGCACCACCAACGTGAAGACCTTCGTTCCTGGAGCGCCGGTAGGCCAATTAGAAAAAGCCACTAATGGCGCCACCGACGGCGCTGCAGCTGGTGGTGATAACGATGGCAAGGCTGGCGACGAAGGGGCGGCGGGAACCAATCAGAAGACGCAGGCGAATACCAATCAGCAGAGGAACTTCCATCAGGCTACACTGCATGCAGGCGTGAAACGTGTTATGCTGAGTGAGAAATGCTTCTTTCTCTTTATCTCCAAATCCCGATACTAGACCATCCAACCATGTGTACTGCTAAAAAATCCCCACCATCAACACAACATTTTGCTACGTGATTGCGCTAACCTTACTGAGTTTAGGGCTTAGTCGGCCAATCTCTAGAGGGAGGAAGGGATGAGGTCGACAAACCCCAGAGCTATGTTGGAACCCTACCGAAGTGAGTAGCCTAGGGAATCGACCGCATGGGGATGGTAATGAGCCAGTTATTACTTGTTGTTTGTACTGTCTCGGCCTTCTTGCATGCTGACACTTGCATGTGTCGGTGACCGGTTTAATAATTTTGCCATGTGATTTGCGGTTTCTTTGGAATCGTGAGTACGGGCGAGTCCCTAACAGTCGCCCAACTTGCTTCTTTGAGACCGTCTGTCGTTCTGAATCAAAACGATGGTGGCAAGCAAACTTATTTAGTGATGGTTTACAGTCGGTATATCCACGCTGCCGTCATCGGATTTTGCGGCTTTTTTATGTTAGTCGGCATGCCAGATCTCAACCAGTCACGTCCTGGTAGCACTGCCGTTGCCAACCAGCTTATCATCAGATAGGGCATCCTACTTATTTAGCCAATCGTCACTAAAGGTCGTTGCACTCCGTTCTCTATCGACGCGCTAGGTAGCCAGAAACTGGGTCTACTAATGAACCCGTCTTTCCAGGCAATATATATCTGCCTGCATCAAGCACAATTTACTGTCTCGTGTAGACGGGGCCGCCAAATCTGATCGACGTTTAAATCTACGTCACCTGCGGCGCGCCGGTTAGTGGTCAGTTAGACTAATGGGGAACCTGTCTTCCAGGCTGGGGCCTTAGTTGAGTCTAGCAGTTTTGTGTGCAAACGGCACCGAGCTTACATGAGATAACTTCAGTAGCTGTTTCTACTTGACGCTACAGTTAAACATTTTATTTAATATCTCATGAACTTCGACGCCTTCTTTTCGGGCATACCCTAGAACAACTTCCGATACTTAATAACATACTCTGAACTTGTTTTTTGTTATAATTAGGCAGGCTATAAAATTTGCAGCCAACGTCTGAGTAGTTACTTTGTTGGTGAAAAATTCGGAGTTTTTTTCCAGAGGACGTCTCTTGGCATGTTCTAGACCACTGCTGATTATTTATCATTGGTGGCGGGCCTTTGGGCATCATAGCTGGCTGTCGGACTTTTGATTCCGGTTTGTTAGCCACACCAAGCCCACAAAGCTTCAGGATTATTCCTGTCGCCTCTAAATCGTTCTCCGCATAGAGTATCGGGAACCAGAAGTTCGGTTTTACTCGCCCGACCTCTGAGAGTTGGGCTTCCTGAGACACTTGCGTATGAAGGATTTTGGATAACCGTTAGCTCCGAAAGAACATGTGTTTCACCTCCCTGCCATTGTTGTCAGCACAGTGCGTGGAAGCGTGTTGGAGGAGAGTTCTGACATAACTGCCTTTGTAACTCACGGGCTGATTGCTTCTGAAGTGGAGAGTACGCCTAATGTTAGTTTCTTTACGGTAGACCGTTGTCTTTATCTTCCCATATTCCAGTTTGGTAACTTGTGCGTCAAGGAAGGACAGATGCGTGTCGGCTTATTTCATGCTAGACCGGATGTTGCGGGAGATTGAATTCAACAGTGTCTTGAGAGTCTGCATGGCACTCTCTTTGATTATGACTAATGTGTCCATGAAATCTGGCCGAGCCTGAAAAGGTTTGTCCCGATTTATTTACTCCAAGTTAGTTTTTTTAATTCTGAGGAGATGAAAAAGCTGAAATGAAACTTGTTTGTCAAAAGAGTAACACCACGTTACCTTTTACCTATACTTATATATGAGAAGAAAAGACGATCTCGGGAACCAGAGTTTTACTGTCCTGACGTTTCAAAAGCAAACAAGCTTCCATTGTCGGAGGTGAGTGTGGTATCGCGCCTCGCAGTATTTATAGGTGGGGGACATTTATGTCAAGGCGGGTTTTTTACATATGAAGTCAGGGCGGCAGGGAGGAAGAGGCGAGGAGGGAGTCCTAGAGCGTTTTTTTGTCGGATGAGGGGATGGGGGATCAGCTTTAGTGGTCACCAGCCGCATGCACACAGGGACTGTGGCGGACGGGGGGGGAGGGAGGAAGGGGGACGGAATGTACTCAACCTACATCGGGGGCCGGCTTTGAAACGTTGGTGGCCGTCGTTCGTACCTTCATTGACCTTAGCTGTCGTCCAAGGCTGGCACTCTTGTTTACGCCGCAACGACTGTCCGCCCTCTCGTCCACCGGACTAGTAGATGGAACGGCTGTGGTGACGACTGCGCCTTCGTCGGAACCAGGTTGAGGGATGGCTGAGTGTGTATCCGCCATGGACTCGCTCATGTTTGGATTCATGTCTAGCCCGGATTCACGTCTGCCCATTTGTTTACTGAGTTGCGCCCGAGGGGCATGGTAGGCATCGGGAAGAGCCGCACGACGGTTGATGGAGGTTGTCCCCGTGTACCAAGCCTCGATTGTTTCTCTGGCTATGTGGTCTTTTCCTCGGCCCAGAATTTCGGCATGCTTGAAGGCGAACGTGTGTCCAGAATCGGCGCAATGTTCGGCCACCAGAGACAATGGGTCTATTCTCCTTACTGCTCTCATGTGCTCTCCAGCACGGGTCTGTAATCGTTTTCCGGTCTCCCCAATGTAGTTGGCTTCGCAGGGGTTACACTGAATCTGATAAATGACGTTCATGGTTTCACCTAGTGGCAGGGGTGGCCTTAGGTCTCATGACCAGATGTCGAATTGTTGACTCCGGTCGGTGGACGATGCCGATCCCCAGCGGTCTTAAGAGACGGAAGGCCGCCTCAGAAACGCCGTCGATGTACGGAAGCGTCCAACATTTATATATAATGGTAACTATACGCTCATCGATCGTTTCTATGGAACTCACTCGTCCCGTTGTGCCTTAGGGCTCATGGCCCGGTGAGTAGAGGCCCGGTGAGTAGAGGCGTTGACTTCTAAACCAACAGGTCGCGAGTTCGAGGCTCGGGTGTTCCACACTTCGGGCTTGGGTATGGCTGGCTGACGACGGCTAATAAGCCAGAAATGGCCATTCCAGTCTCCCTTGTCTTTGTCGGTAATATCATTCTGCATATATATATATATATACCCAGGTGCGGCTTCGGCCGTGCCAGCCTCCAAATCTCTGTTGTGTTGGTTGAAATCCTGGTTATTGCTGTGTGGACCAGGGGGTGTGGTGGAACGCCAAGGTGAGGATCCGTCCGAGCCATCCACCTGCGGCCTCGCTCGTCTCCGGTCTTCTTGACTCTGTCTTGACACCGGGTCCAGGCGGGGGAGGAGGAGAGAGTGTAGGTAGATGCTACGCAAGTCTACCGGCACTATAAACCCCTGCGTAAGTCACCGTCCCTGCTCCCATTGCTGCTGCAACTGTGGGGCACACGGTGGACATCATCGAAACCGATGGTCGAACTGTCATATATATATATATATATATATATCGTTTCTTTCTTCCATATGTTTGCACATGCGCTAATGTTGCCGGCCATACTCTAATTGAAGACTCAACTGACACGCATTACCGAAAAGTCGGTTCTTTCCGTGAAGTTTGCTGACCATTCATGCCTCAACTGTTTTGATTCATCTACCACATGTTGCGCTCGGCACATAGCAATCCTTCTTATTTATGTTCTCGCATTTTTCCTCCTTCAGGTGGGGGCAGCAATCAAGACCTGTTGGCCATCCAGGACGCCATAAAACGTGCCAAAACAATGGACGAGGTGGAACGCCTGCACCAGATGCTCAGCAGCGGCCAGTTTGCCGGATTCGCGGCCCATTGGCATAAGCAGCAGAAGCGCTGATTGGTCACTACTGCTGTTGTGCAGCCTTTTGTATCCTGTCGCCGGCGCATGTGTCCCATTTTTATCACTTTAAAATGTTCTTTTGCTCTCGCAGACACTTGGGCCGGATGCATCTGCCACCCTATTTTCTGTACAGAACTGTTTTCTGGACAAAATTGGAATGATTGGTCGTATTGCACAACTGCGTCCCCTCTATATCCCTATTGCTTGCGTTTTAATGGGCAGAGAGACAGTTTTTTACGAGGTCTTTCTCTTGGTTTACTTTTTGCCACCCGTCATCCTTCCCGATCGACGCCACGCTGCACTGATGTCGCATTATGGCGTTTTTCACTCAAACTCGGCTTCCTACGCTCGCTGGTGTTCGTGCACGCGCGTCGGTGGATCGTCCTACCAGTACCGTCTCCCTTTTGTTCAGTATTTTAACCCTAGTTTATCCGTCCGGACTTTCAGCTGCGCACTCAATTTCTGCTCCGGTCGCAGTCGTGGCGCCGGCAATTCCAATTTCGGCCTTGCGTGTAAACATTATCGACAGAGAAGACGAAAGCGGTGATTTCCGACCTACCTGCAGTGATTGTGGACCGTTAGGATTTGATTAAAACACCGAGCCGGCAAGCCACTGAACGAACACCCTATCGCCTCGGTCATAGGCTCATGCTCTGTCTGCTGCGGTCTGGGGTGTGCAACTTCGCGTAGACGTAGCACCCATCGATCTGGTCTGATTACCTGACTGAATGTGGGCGATTCTTTGTGCATGTGCCTCGTTACCACCACTGGTTGCTTTATGTTTCGCGCGCAAACAGGCTCTCTAGCTCTCTCAGCCGCTTCACGCATTTCCGGCGTAAGACATATGGCCGGCTCGTACGCTGGACTAACGTGCGTGTGGTGGTGAGGTTGACGGCCTCAGCGCATTTTACTCACTGAACCATCTGAGGAGCTCGAAGTTGTCACAGCGTGCCAAAGCTGTGTCTTGGAAGACTCCCAACTGACAGGAGAACTCGGTTCCCCGAGGACGGAGGGTCATGCTGCGATCGCTCCTTCATAATGTGGCCTTCATGGCACTCCCTTCTGGTTAGGATGCGAGCCGCCCTCCCATTTGCTGATTTAGTGAGGCCCCCGGTCCATTGTGCGCCGAACGGTCGTCGGCCATGGCAGCTGGATGGCTTGAGCGAACGTTTGATTTGGCTACCTGAGTTGTCACCAGCTCTACTGTAGCACGTACCTACTAGCGCAAAGGGTCAAGTTATAGATGCGTTACGTGGCATGACACACGTAAACCAGGCTGCGTCGTGTCCGCGCAGTACATAACAAATGTCACACATGCATGGGGAGAGGTGGCACACCTAGGTGCAGTCTCACGCCGAGCCAGACATTTGCGCCTAGTTCCCGCATCATATGACTGACCAGCTCAGACAGCGGACCGAGCCATGGGAGAGAGTGAGACAGACTCTGGAACCCTCGTCCCCACGGGCAGCGTATTCCTCACTGCAAACCATCTGATGCACAGTTAGACCATTGCGGTCCGCTAAAAGCCGTGGCTTCAAAGGCTGCCAACTCGGCCCCTCTCTTAGAACAGAGAGTCAGACTGCAATTGCTTCCTCTTAGTGTGGCCTTTGTGACAAGCCCTCTCGGCCGGAATCCGATCACTCTTTTTCCCTTTGTTGTGTGAAATCCTGATCAGTTGTGCGTGGCAGGCCAGGGAGTGTGGTGGCACGCCAAGGTGCGGATTATTGCCGTGTCAGTCACTTGTGCCCTTTCTTACCCCCGGCTTTTCTGACTTCGTCATGACACCGAGTTCAGGCGGGAGTGCACTCAGGTGCTGTGAAAGTCACTGCATCTGCTCAAAGTCGTCGGAAACGATGAAGCACGATTAATTTTGTCCCAGACGATGTTTGTTAAGCAACCCTAGGATTTTATTCTGGCGTGATATGTCGTCAGTAAGGTCACCGTATATAACCTCAAAATCGCCCTTTTAAAACAAGGAAAAAGAATCGGGGTGAGGTGGACTATGCTCCTACAGTCTGTCCAACCAGTGAAAGCTCAGACCGCCCTTCCGAATAATCCCGGGCGGTACGTCCACAACTATTCTTCAGCGCGTCCTGAGAAAACTCCACGTAGAGATACTATCTCTCGGTTTTAAATTTTACATTGCCCGGCGGATGCCGAAGCAATTGGATTTAGAAATCCAGTTCAAGTCTAGCCAGACTACCGATCTAGAGCCTACCGAGCCTAGAGAAGTGGATTATCTCAAGTCAACTGTGGTTAATTGCTGCCAACAATATTTAAGGAAGGCACTGTCCCTTGGAAGGGACACATCTGTGCTCTCTCAGGGAGCTTCACAAAGACGAAGATATTCCACTAAGCAGGCCGGTTAAAGGTTCAGGAGTAGTGCTAGTCGGATGAAGTCCTGTCGGATCGTACTCGGTCCTCGAAATCCGGAAAAGACTAGGACCGTAGCGAGGCCGTCAAGAATCAGTTGAAAACAGGTCTCCATGATCTCCACAAAAGTCTGCTGTCTGACGGAGAGTTTGAACGACTGAGGCCTGTAGGCACGAAGACGCTCCGAATGTACGGCCTTCCGGAAATTCCCAAACGCGCCCTGTCGCTGCATCCAATCCTGGATATGAGAGATCCGCCCCATCACACCATTGCAAAATAACTAATAGAAAAGCTTAAGCTGCTCGAAGGTCATTTGTACTCTCTAGGTCTGCAAGACACCTCTGAGTTTGGGGACGCTATCGTGAATATCAGCTTTGTTACATGTATCCGTGATATAAACAAGTACAAACTAATTCTCGCCGTTGGGTCCCACCCTGCTGCAGGACAAACGGTGGACATTGTCAAAGTCGACGGTCAAACTGTCATCTGCTTAAGCTTGTAGTTTCTGCTGCTATAAAAAAACGGTCGGATACTAAAGCCCAGCGAAACAGAAGTCTTGCCCGGCAATAATTACCGCTTTTAAGTAGAAGTGGGGTTTCTGGTAACCAAGAGGCATTTACTGTTGCTGCGCACGCTGTCTAACGATGTTACAGGTAAACATTCTCAGAGGACCCTAACTGCAATCGGCACTGAATTCCACAAGGTACGTGATAGGCTTACAGCCAGAAAGAAACATCCGAGCATACAGTGGGTGACCGATCACATGAAATGTTGACCGAAATTTTGAAATGCGTTTTCGATTTGCAAGGATTACTTAGGTGGGGTTGTAATACTGATTATCATGCGGCATAATCTAGTAATATTTCGGACTCGCCAGGATGTCGGCTTTTGAATGCACTTCTTTCCGATCTCCCGCAAAACCCGAACTCGGCAAAAAAGAGTACTTAAGTAGCATGCATTTTTCACATTGATTTTCGATTGTCTTATAAATTCAAATATATTTTATAGAACACATGCACAAAAGTATGCTTTCTTTTACTCATTCGGTGGCAAATCACGTCGAATTTACATTTTATGCTTGAAGACAGGGTATATTTAGGTTTTAAAAGAGTTTTCCAATTCCCGAGTAATTTTGAACCAGACCAGCCATTGCATTAGCGTTTAGCGATTTCATTCTACAAGGCGCATCCTTTCCATGTAAGGAAAATAATTTATTCTACTATGCCCTTAAAAAGACACCATTTAGATTTCATGAAATTTTGCAACGAGTGAGGACTATGTTGTACATTTTATGAGGAACAATGGTAAACGGACAGGTACGATGCTGTATGACTGTACATCGCACGGTCTTGAAAATCGTATGATTAAAAACTTCTTTAAAACCTAGATATGCCCTCGCTTCAAGCACAAAGTGTAAATTCGACGTGATTTGCCACCGAATGAGTAGAAGAAAGCATACTTTTGTGCATGTTTTCTGTAAAATACATTTTGATTTATAAGATCACTGGAAATCAATGCGAAAAATGCGCGCTACTTAAGTACTCATTTTTTGCCGAGTTCAGGTTTTGCAGGAGATCGGAAAGAAGTGCATTCAAAAGCCGACATCCTGGCGGGTCCGAAATATTACTAGATTATGCCGCATGATAATCAGTATTACAACCCCTCTTAAGTAATCCTTCCAAATCAAAAACGCATTTCAGGATTTCGGCCAACATTTCATGTGATCGGTCACTCACTGTAATTACGAGTATTTGTGAAGCAGGGGTTCACTTTACTTGGTACCAAAGATTCAGTCAGTCAACTAACAAGTTGAAAGTATGCACCCTTTATCTATCATTTTCAATGTCTGTGAAATACGGACTTAACTTCTCCAGCCTCACAGTCAGGTCTGTCCTTCCAATTCTGTCTCTGAATCGTCGTTTGCGGATTTCGTCATAGTCGGCTGTTGCGTTCAAAATAGACGCCACATCTGCAGGAGACAATTTTCTTCCTGTACCGTGAACGGTATATTCACGCGCATTCTTCCTACTACACCCGATGCGGATTCAGGAAACGCTGCAAAAGAATCGATGTGATCCTCGCTGCCGGATAACTGCAACTGAAATGTGAGAAGACGTGGACCCATATATTTCCGAAATTCTGCCACCCGAATGAGGCCGTCGACACCGTAAACGAGGATAGAATGGAGGATAATTCAATATTGGTTGGTATTGATCACACAGCGTCAAAACCCACATCGTCGCGAATATATCAGACCATCACTGTTGCAAATCACAGTTCGACCGTCGTTACGGACGATGTCTGCCGTGTGCATCACAACAGAATGGGTTCAGTGACGGCGAAGTCTGCGTGATTTTTATTATAGTAATGATACACTTGTGTCGCATCTACCGCTCTCCCTCCTGGGCTCGATGTCACGACAGAATCAAGAAGACCGGAGATTGAAGAGGACGCAGGTGGCTGGCACGGCGAAAACCCGCACCACAACGCCCCCTGGTCAACCACAACTTCGCACAACAAAATGAAAGGATAGGGGCGTCTTGGATCAGTACTGAGTGGGAGTGCCATAAAGACCACATTTAAAAGGAGCCATCGCAGTCTGATATTCCGTCCTTCGAGGAGGACCTGGCCTTCCAAACCACACTCTGACAGCTTTAGGAGTGCCGGCTTATTTATAGCGAGGGAAATGCGCTGAGACCATAGACTTTTCACTCTCCTCCCACTCCCAAACATCCATTTGGTCAGTTTTCTGACGCGGGAAGTGAACGCAGTGGCTGGCAGGGCATGGCACGGCCTAGACTTCCTGGCTCGGATCTTACACATATGAGAGTACCATGAGGAGGGATCAATTGTAGTCTGACTATCAGTCCACCATATCCAAACGCTCACCGCACAAACACACATTGGGCTGACGGCAGGGTCTGAGTTGAGGCGTCAGTTGACAACCTTCCAAGCCACGTCCTTTGGTACACTGTTATAGTCTCAAGCCCGTCGTCGGATTGTTCATGATAAGAAATTACAGGCTGAGAGTAGAACTCACGCGTCTTACGCTATCCGGTGCGCCAGTCGACTATCCAATCCGGTAAACCAACTGGCGCTGAAATTATGAGAGGTTCCTCAGAAAGTTCGACCGTCGTTGCTGACGATGTCCACCGTGTGCTCACATCAGGATGAGAGCAGGGACAATGAATTGCGCTTGGCTTGATTTACTGTGAGCTTAGACCTGCGCTGCCTCCTCCCCCACCTGGGCCCGGTTTCAAGACAAAGTCAATAAGACCGGAGGTGGGAGAGGGCCAGGTGGATGGCACGGTCGAGTCCTCACCTTGGCGCTCCACTCCACACTCCCTGGTGTCCACACAGCAAATGACCAGGATTTTAACCAACAACAGCACCACCGCGAGTCAGAAAGACGGGGATGACTGGACGGCCATGCTCATGATCAGTGTACCTAGTGGGAGCACAAACGCATCTACCGGCAGGGACCAGGGATCAGAGAACTGCCAGCGTATACCAGGCTGCCAGGACCATGATTTGCTGATCCTGGTATGGCAGACACTTATATACCTCTAGAGAGGTTTCTAATAGAGCTAAGGATAGCTTGTCTGCGTGTGCTGGATGCTCGACCGGTCACCCCAAAAGCACACACAAGAAGTAAACGGCCCGGAGATCACATGTAGCCACATGCGTACTGCATGCTTTGATGGAGAAATTTGTGGCGATATGGTCAAACCTGCGGTGTTTTGCCGCAAATGTTCATGGAGGCACAGGTGGCCAAATAGGCCCATTCGTTGAGTGAATGTGCACGGACAGTGTGGACTGTGAAAGCAACGACTGCACATCGGGCTACAGGCGCCAGCTCGCTATCTCTGGGCGATGGATTCCCAAGTAACCGACCAGGCCGATGCGTGAGCTGACTGCGTGACGACAGTGTGAGCAGGATAGGTCGGGGGGTGCAGAGTCGGTTGCGATTGTCGTACTGTTACTGGTGGTCGCGATTGTGGATGGGTAGTTGGTAGTGATGGGACCGGGAGAGTTGGCGGATGTGCAAGGCGTGCTAGCTGTGTGGATTTTGCGGTAAATGTTGCTGTTGTAGATACGTTTATGACCGAATAGGTTCATACGTAATTGAACGTGCGTCGATACTACAGGAAGTGAAGGCTGATGCTGGGAGTGTGTGTGGATGCTCCTGGCACCGACGCGTCGATCTCCGTAAGAACATGCTGCGACCAAGTTCACATTGGTGGTGGGGGTGGTGTTTGACGGCGCTTTTGGACTGTTCGCATCGGTGGTGGGAGTGGGAAAGGAGGTGGTTGTGGGAGAAGGATAGTGGAGGTGACTTTGATTGATGGCGATGGGGTGGTATTTGGATTTTGGGTAACAATCGGGCGATGGCACCCAAATATCCGTTGTCTAGAAATAATACCTACTTCATCAATTTGAGCAGGTTATAGCCCTACAGTCCACATGTTGCTTCACTTAGATTATCACCGTCTTCAACAGTTGAGGTGCTACCGCTGTAGACCGAGCCAGGGTTAATCAACCTTCATTTAGGCTTACACGGCTGACGAGTGACAGCAGCAATGGAGTTGCGGATAAACCCAGCCTTGTTGAGAAACAATCACTGTAGACCAACCACTGGTTTACCATCCTTCAGATATGCTTCCTTAGGTCAGGAGCGACGACATTATTCCTTTTGCGGCTTATTCTGCAAGAACTTTGCTTTGGACAGTTGCGGAATGATCACTTTATACCTATCCTATGTTTACCAACCTTGGTAGTATCTTCCACAGCTGAAGAGCGAGCGCAGTAGTCGGTATGCGGATTAATCTACAGTAGCATACGTTCAGACAATTGCGACACGATCGCTGTGGACGGACCCTTTGGCTTATGGGTTATGACCATCACTTCCTTAGGTCGGTAACGATCTCACTTGTAGGTATGTGGCTCAATCTATGGCACCATACCTTTGGACAGTTTTGAAACGATCGCCGTAGACTACAACTTCGTTTCTGAAAAAAATTCTTACTATTCTGGAGTATTATCCACGCATTCGAAGGCCTTACCCATTAAACCTCCATTAGCACCTATCCCATAAGATAGGCTGCTTTGGTTGACCGGATTTCTGTGGGGGCCATCTCCCGACTGTTACCGGATTTTGATCACTGGTAATGGAAATGATCGTCGTCATGGTCGACGACGTAGGACTTCGTGCATGGAAAGGTATCAGCTGAGGATGACGTTAGGTCGCGTTGGGTCCGGAGGTGTCCGACGTGGCCGATTCGCACACTCAGTGTCTGGCGGCTGCACAGGATTGAATGGTGGCGGTGGTGCCTGAGACTTTCGAGTTGCTTGTTTGGCTTTGACGACGGCGATCTGGTGGTCTTCGCAGATCGCTGCTCCAGTCCTCACAACTCTTCTGCAGAATGGTCGGTCCCAGGTCTTCGAGTCTACTCTCAAACGTTTTACAGAGTTATTTTGGGCTATGCTTGTAGCGTAGAATGTGATCTTGTCAACGAAGACTCATAACGACATCTCTATAGAACAGTCGTCCGGCTAGTCGCCCATCGTCCGTCCTCGTGGGGTGGCCGCTCCATCGCGGTTGCATTTACCTTGGCATGGCGTGAATGCTGAGGCCTCCAATCTATCTCAAAGCCTTCGTGTCCAGAATCTTATCCTGTCAACCCCGCTTTGATATCCGTCGGAAGTGCTTGAATCACCGCGCCTGTTTCATGTTGACTGTCTAGATCTCCACTCAATACGATAGCGTTGTCAAATGACAGCGTGTTGAGGAGTTCTCCAGCCGGCCTAAGGTCTGACTGGCTTTGGAGATCCGGTGAGGCAAAACCGACCTGCGCACAAGTCACCACTCACCTCACCCGACACTGGATTCTTGAGATGGACGACCTGGAATCCCCGCCAACTAATGTTCTGAATGACAACCGGACGAGACAATTGTGAGTAGCCTGGGATTATGAATCAATATTGTTGACGTACTTGCTTCATATCAGTAGGCGTGTTTTTACTAGGTTTCATACTTACAACTGCCACTTGGGCGGGAACCGCTTAAACTAGGACATGCGCAGGCCGCAAGGAGGGATCCGAGAGGCAGGCTATACGACTTTTTTAGCCGACGACTTCAAACTATGAAGCAATGAGCACAAAAACAGGCACAACAAGGTCAGAATCGAGCTTCTCGACGGAGCCGGTCGAATAACTTAAAACCCACGGAAAACCAAAGTTTGCCTGGTAAAACAGCGGAAGTGAATGCTCCTCCTAGAGATTAAGGATATCACCTGTCCAATGCCCACAGGCGGAGAAGCGCGTGCTTTCGGCCTCCAAGGACTCTGGGTGACAGATCGACGAAGTGTCTTTGGGGACTGTGTGGCGAGGTAGGTGTCGCCTGTCGTTTAGCAAAACCCAGTGGAGTAGTATGTTAACTTTTAAAAAGAAAAGTCAAGTTGGCAAACACGTGCTTTCGGTACTTCTCCGTCAGGCCAATACAATTACATGAAGGAGTGAAAATGTACAAAATTAACAGTGTTTATAGATGTCTCAAGGGTTATTAAGTCATTAACACTCATCATCCCCACGTCGCCCGCATGACAAGGTCGACGGGTGTTCGTCCTCAGAGCTAGGGGAGGGGGTAAAAGAGTCGTTGAGTGATGTTCTTGGATTGAGTACACGGAGTACCCATCACTGTAATCAGGGATTTGAGGCGGCATGGCTTCATCACTTGGAGTTGGCGTTGGCCACAGCAAAGAGAGCGCTTGTGTCAGGGTTTTCTGATAGCATAGCACCGGATTCGTTAGCCGTATTGCCACTGCCTCGGCCGTTGCTAGTATCCGCTGGCGTAGGCCTTTAGAGAAGCTTGTTGGTGTCCGATAGACAACCTGGCATGCTTTCTTGGCATCGACTCGGTGATTCGTATCGATTAAATTTGCGAGAATCGAACTCGAAATCGACCGGGTCTCATCTCTGCCTAGTCAGGCAGGCATATGTTCTTTTAAAAAGAACTTGTCATTTTCAAGTTTGAATTGTATGAAGCAAAGGTACGTAGAGGTCAGGCATTTGATTGCGAGAGAACTGCGTCTATGAGAGAGTAGAGGGGAGGAGTGGTTAGTAATTAGGAGCCCAACCCAGTTGCGGATACCCAAAGGTCACTTCAGAGAGAGAGAGAGAGAGAGAGAGAGAGAGAGAGAGAGAGAAGAGCGACAACCACCACTAACCGCTTTGACGAGCGTGCTCAAACGTGCCTCCATCATGAGCACACGACAGAAGAAACCAGAATATCTGGTTTGTTTGCGCTCAATTTCAGGTGGCAGTGGTCATTATCGAGGACAGGTTATGCCTGAGAGGGCAGTTTCTGAGGACAACAAATAGATGTGAAGGCAACTAGTTTACGGCATCCGGTGATCCTTGGCCCCATTCTTGCATGCGGAGCAAATTTGGGCACTGTGCTTCCAGTCGGCGCGTATTGTCTTGACCGAGGGTTGGTGTGCCTAGCGGTCCTTGTCGCATGGAAACAAAGAACTTACTCGCGTCAGTCAAGACGGTTCACGGTCCTTAAACCGGGTAGACCGAATTTATCTAGATTGGCGAAATTGAGAGATCCGGGCTGATTATTTGATGAAGAGGAAGAAGGTAAGTCAGGATTTCCAGAGAGCTACCATTTTAGACCGGGGCAACACAAAAGCAGACCGGCTAACTCTCCGATGACCACTCTATCAATAGGCATTTGGACCTTCCGGCAGCTTAAAAAGTCCTACGTCATCACAATCGTAGAGCTCAGGACCAAACAACCACACCGGACTTAAGAAGGCCCGTACGGAGATAGCCCGACGGTGAGGTTACTCGGTGAGAAAGAAAAAGAGTCGCCAAACCGACCGCCCGACAAAGGTTCAATCACCTCCCTTCGACTGAGTGGTGACTCACAAAGCACGCAGTCAAAACGCCCATCAACCAATAAACCTGTTACGGAGAGCCCATCTTCTTCTTCAAACCGAAATACTGCTCAGCTCTGGCGGAATGGACTGAAAATCTCGGTAGCACTGTGGACCCCTAAACAAGACACTGAGAACAGGAACCGTCCGCAGAACGGGTGGATTTGAGCCAATTTTCGGTGAAAATGGAGTTAGTTCGAAGGTTATGGAAAGGGTTAAATTAGGGGTTAGATTTAAAACTAGGTTTAAGTTTAACGGTGAGTCAGAATCAAGCTTGAGGCTAAGGTAGGGGTTAGTGTTAGCTGCAGAATTAAGGATTAAGATAGGGTTAGGGTCAGTATAAGGGCAACGGTTTAGTTTTTTATGAGAGTTATTGTTGGAGTTAGGACACAGCAATATTTTGCTTCTCCCAGAAGGTCAGTCGGTGGGGTTCACCTATCTCCACGCCCTGTTTAGGGGAGAACATAACCCAGTCCTACCCAAAGCTCACCATTTTCATCATGCTGGGACAAATGCGCTAGTGTCAGCTTCGCGAGGATAGATGACGAGGAACAGCCCAAGCAACTTCCCTACAGACATGTCGCTACGCAAGCTCACCGGAAAGGAGGTGAGAAGCGACACCCTGTGGACCTCCCTCAAGGGTGTACTAATCATTCCAGTTGCCTGCGGAGACCTTGTCTGGAGGCAATATTTAGGACTTGAGAAGCAATCTACAAAGTCAAACGGATCGCCACCGCCGAAGCTAAAAGAGCGTCTCGCGATTCTCAAGCGCCACAGACTCACAACCCCGATATCTAACCGATCTCATCGTCTCCACTATACACAAACCAAGCATTCGTGGCACGCTCAGACGGACTGTTTAGCTGTATCAGTCACTGCGTCCGATCCCACCTCAAGCCTTCCTGGCTCTGACTTGGCATCGAGCGTGAGGTAGATGCTGAACAAGTTTATGATCTCTACGAACTGATTCACGTTCAAGCTGTCGTCCCTGCGCGCACCATGCTGTGAGGCGTCAGGTGGACATCGTCCGTAATGACGCTCGAATTGGTGTGTATGTGTGTGTGTGTGTGTGCGCCCCTACAACGTGCCGGCAGGGAGGTGTGCTGGAGAGACAGGAAGGTGATATCGGGCACAGCACTCGTTACTCGAGCTGCGCGTCCATAACTTCTGCCACGTATGAGGTCACGATGGGACGCCTAGGCGCAGGCTCGCGTTCCGCAGACCATTTTCCACATTAGATGGCTGACCGGCTCGAAAAGTGAGTGAGGTTGACTCTGGACACTGCGTCTCCACAACATTCAGCGTATATTTCCCACCATAAACGCGCTTTTGATCTATCACGGGCTGCCAGCTGACGGTACAACTCTGTCCTCTCAGAATGCGGCCGCAACCGCACTCCCACCCAGATGGACCCCGAGTCTCCCCTTTGTTGTTGTTGCGAAACCCTGTCCCTTGAACGTGGACCTGGCGTGTGTGTGGCACGCGTAGACAGACAGTTTGGCCTTATGAATCTCTGCGTTTTATCCCGCCTCCGGACTTCTGGACTCCTTCATGATACCAGGCCCAGGTGTGTGATGGGTGATAGAGTGCGTCAGCTTGCGCAGAAGTCGACTATCACTATAATCTAATTTACACGCAAATCACCGCCTCTGCGCCCACCCTGCTACGACTTAAACAGTGGGAATCGCCGAAAACGGAAGTCGAACTGCCAGGTAACAACAACAAACGAAACAAATATTTCAAACGTTCATTTTTGTGCATTCTAGTAAATCGTGATTTTTCGCGCTCTTCCCATTTAAACTGCACAGCCTAACTTAAACTATCTGCATTCTGAATTGTTCCATAGACGCACATCTTCTTGCCGTTAATCATCGCCCTATTCTAGTTATCACTTATGCCTGTAGACTTATTGATTTACGTCTCAACTGACGCTTATTAAAGGCTGACATGCAAGAATGGAGCCAAGGATCACCGGGTGTCGTAAGCTAGTTGCCTTCACATCTATTTGTTGCTCTAAGAAAGCTGGTTTTCTAACTTCCAGCAGCCGGTCCTAGCCAGTTGGTTCTGTCGGGTTATTCTACCTAGCTGGGTTCTATAGATGCACTTGCTGAAAATCTAATTCAATTTGCTTGTCTCCATTCTTAGCAGACATTTCGGCGGTAATTTATTTGGCATCTCCTCGCAGGACTGTAGACGCGTTTATTCGCACGTTAACCCGATATTTAGTGAAGCTTATGATCCGCAGCTTGGGATCTCATGAACTGTTAGTCGATATTCTGGAATGCGTTTTCTATTAGGGAGAATTACTTAGGTGGGGCTGTAATATTGATTATCATGCGGCATAATCCTCTGATATTTCGAACTCGCTAGGATGTTAACTTTTAAATACACTTTTTTTCTACCTACAAAAACCTCACTCGGAAAAAGTAATTACTTATTTAGTATGCACTTTTCACATATATTTTGATAGCCTCATGAATTTAAATATATTTTATGGGAAATAGGCACAAAATGTGCCTTCTTTTACTCGTTTTTAGCCACCCACTTTATACTGGAAGAAAGGGTATATCTAGGTTTTCGAAAAGTCTTCCAATTCCCGAATAGTTTTATATCAGATCAACAGTTGCATCAGTATCTAGCGATTTCAGTCTGCAAGGGGTATACATAACGCGTACACAAAGTCATATATGCTTCTACATTTTTAAGAAAGTACCAGGTATAGTTCGTAAAATTCTGCAATCGATGAGAACTATGTTGCATACTTCATAAGGACCATTAATAAAGGGACAGGTACGATGCTGTATGAATGGATATTTAACGGTCTTAAGAAATTTCATAAGTTGAAGCTTTTTAAAACCGAAATTTACTCCTTCTTTAAATATAAAGTGCAATGACGACAGAATTTGCTACCAAATGAGTAGAAGAAAGCAGATTTCGGGCACGCTTTTAACAGAATGTATTTGCATTTATATGGCCATCGAAAATATATGCGAAAAACGCATTCTAATAAAGTTGTCATTTTTTACCGAATGCAGTTTTTACGGGCCAAACAGACGTGCATTCAAAAGTCGGCGTCCTGGGAAGTCCGAATTACTATGGGAATACTCAGCATGATAATTGATATTACAGTCTCTCCCCCCCCCCCAAGTAATCCTTCCTAACAGAAAAAGCATTTTATAATTTCGGCTAGCATTTCCTGAGGTAAGTCCCTCATTGTATTTCAAACTTATCTTCCAATTGGTTCCTTGGCCGCGCCGGTCTTTTGAGACTGTTTTCGACATTCTTTACACATGTTGATTCAGCAGTGACATCGCTGGGATAAAACAACTGTCATAACGTGACTAAACTCCCCCTATTGTAATCAGGCTTTGTTCGCCATTGCATTTGATTCATTGTTCATCCTGAATGCACTTCTGGATACACAAAAAGGACTAAACGCTTCCTTGGCCACGATCTTGCCCCGAATGAGAAAATATTTAGATCCCCCTTCTCAAACAAAAGCCTTTCCCCACGCAAAATATCTACAATTCGGTCATGTTAGTATTGACTCCGAGAGCTAAATAAGCCATACTCCACAAAAATTTAACCAAGTGACTCGCATCATCCTGACTCATGCGCAATATCTTGAAAACCGTCTAGCACACTTAGAGCGACGACGTATCGAATTCAACGTACGAGCCGTCCATCCATTGCTGCCAGACATTCTCGACCATACCGCACCAGTTTCCTGTTTAAGGAGTCCAGTTCGACCAAACCCGGCTGAATGAAAGCTTATGATTGCTAAGTGGACTATCAACCTCTTTGCACATTGCCGAAGCGTTGCAATTGATCTCCTCTATGTAACTTATAAACTCAGTTAGGCCTTTAAATGTTAATTTGTTCAACGTATTCATAATTAAATAGGGACTTATAAGTCGCCCTGATTGTACTTCTTATGACAAACTCCCAGACTCTTGAGCGACCTCTCAACTCAGACTTCTATGCAATTAATCTTCGCGACTCCCTCCCGCACCTTACCGGCCTAAATTATCGTTAATACGTTCCTTTTTCGTCGCTTACTACAAACAACCTTCTGATAAGGGAGCGCTCACAGATGATGTTTCGGAATTCATTATTCCCGTTGTGACTTGAGACTCTCTTTCGAGCCAAACGTGCAGCCGCACAGCGGCGTGTAATATATGCAAGAACGTTGAAGTCCCAATTTCAGACCCTTTTTAACCCCGCTGATTAAAAAGGGACTATGTTTAATTTGTAATCTGTTAAATTGCCGCACGTTTAATCCGTTGTCTAACTTCAGAAATTACGCTTAGCCTCGGTACAAAAGTCACCCCTTACTCTTTATTTTCTCCTCTGGAGGGTACGGTTGTATATCGCCTATTATTTTCTGTTTAAGTCCATTTTCTGTTGCTATTTGGAAAAGCCATTTAGATTCATGCAAATAAGGAATGCTAAACACCGCGAAATAGGTAAACAAGCGTCTAGTATATCGGTGAATGTAAAAACAGAGTAAATATGGCAAAAAACAAAACACGAAGCAAAAACTTACGCAATGAACAAAAAATACAAGGCGTGAAAACGTCCGTAAGGAAATCAGCAACTACTGCCGCACAAGTGACATCTGAACAAAATATTGGCGGAGTAGGAAAATACTCGAACCTAACGCATTGACAATGGACGACCGTAGACTTCAGATCTAGAGTGTGGATGTCATTTACCTTACACTTGCCCCAAGACTAAAGAGGCTCTTAAAGTTTGACAACCCAGCCCATAAAACAGCGATCAGAAATTAATTTAGAACTGAGAGCAATATTATTTTGGACACGTGAATCCACACTAGGACCAAAGAGACCTCGATGCGGACTGCATACGAATAAAGTGACATCCGAATGTCGTTTCATACTAACTGTCCCTTGTACTGCATTATTTAGTTCTAGGTAGCACGTGATCACTATTTATTATCTTTTGAATTTTATTTTACACCGATTTTTTGGGGAAAGTTTTTGAAAAATCAAGATACCTTGTATATCTTGAGGTTTCTTTAAGCAACGGTGTTTGCAACTCATTTCTGACACGCTTGGCATATGTTGGATTTCGGTTGTCAAATGCCGTTGTTAGTCTTTGGGTTGGCCGTCTGGTAGGTGTCATACGCAACTTATATCTATTTGTCCTCACGATACTACACCGTTCAATAACTTTATAAGGACTATTTCTGAACGATATATCAGATAGGCTTCAATCTCGACTATGTCGGCCGTGTGCCCCACAGCAGGGTGGGCTTTAACCCACTTTGATGAACTCAAGCGCGTCAGATTGTTTTCTAGTGAGGAATACGCGCTGATAACGTCGATCTCACCCACTCGCAGACACTATTTTACTGTTCATGCCGGTCAGCTGTTGGCTGTGGAAGTGGGTCCGGGCCAAGCTCCTTGGATCTCACGTGTGTGAGAGGGCCATAGAGACCATATTAATAAGGGGCCTTCACATTCACACTTTTAGTTTACGTGTGGGGTTAGAGATAAAGCGTTGGTCGGCAGCCTTCCCATCCAACGCTTTTAACTCATCATCATAGCCGCGAACGCGTCAGATTGTTTATAGTGGGGAATACGCGCTGATAGTCTACATCACCCCATCTACCCTTTCCCATGCTCCAACTGATATTCCGAGCCACCCAACCAAATAATGCTGAGGCTGCGAGAGATGGCTAACAGCCAAGAACAGCCCGTCTGCGGGTGCCACTCACGACTCGCCCCCTCACAATACTCACACACTAGGATTTCACACAGAAGAGGTAGACTGTGCGGAGCTCACATGTAATAGAGCAGCTCCTTGAAGGAGGAACCGAATAACACATTTCCCCTCATGTGAGAAGTGCCTGCTCTGTGTGATATAAGGGGTGTTCATGTGTGTTACATGTGTTTGTGGGGAAGTTTGTGATGATGTGGACTAGGCTGCACTGATTTACCATAGATTTTAATGAAGGTACATGTGACCGAGTACGCTCATGCAATGGCTGAATGTGCGAGGGTAATACGGACAGTTGGGCCAATGGCGCCAGATTTATGTTGACGTTCCAGGCACAAGTTTGCTAGTCCCTGTACGATGGATTCGCAAGTGACTGACCAAACCGATGTGTGATATGCATGTGTTGTAACGGTGTGAGCAGGATAGGCTGGGAGATCCTGAGTAGGTTACAATTGTGATGTTGCTAGTGGTGACCGCACCGACAGTTGGGGAGTTGGTAGGGAGTGGAAACTAGAGCATTGTTGGATGAGTTAGGTGTGGTTGTTGTGTCGGTATTGCGACGAATTCCCTGTCTTGGATATGCACGTGGCCGAATATGCCCATACGGTAAGTGAATTCGCGTGTGTAATATGGACCATTGAGGCGAGTGTGTAAGGACACCTGGCACTGGTGCGCCGGTGTAAGTGACTGACAAGGTTGATGTGTGGGATGGATGTGCGATCGCAATATGGGCAGATTGTGATCGAATCCACTTCTCTGGTTGTGGAAACAATGATGATGAGAGTAGTGGTTGGGTGGGGCCGTCGTGAGTTCTGACACTGGTAGTGGAAGTTTGAGAGGGGGTAGCCGTCGTCGTGGAAGTACTGGCGGGGATGACGAGGATGGCGGTGATCGACGGCGGCAGGACATCGGAAGCCTGGTCACAGGTGGTGAGAGTGCTGGCCGTCTTGAACGCCGTGGGGTCGGTGCACTGGTGACGATGGGGACGGTTGTGAAGGCAGCAGTTGGGGTTGTTGAGTTGTCAATGCACTGAGTCCGGATATGTCCAACGAGGCCACTCGGCGCGCTTAATGTTCATTGTCATCGTGGGTATATTGGAGGTGGTTGGGTGTTTTTGCTGTGGATTGGTGGCATTTGAGACTTGCGAGCCGCTGTTTTGGCTTGGACAACGACTATCTGGTTGAATTCATAAGTTTCCGCCCCAGTCTTCACTGTCCATCTCCAGGCCGGTCGATCCTGTTCGAGATCCCCCCTAGGCCCCCGGGTTGATTTCTAGATTATTGGGGGGATTTTTCAGCGCGCCTATAATGTCATTTCTGTCCTCCATGTCGACGAGCGCTCGTTGCCACGTGGCCGTAGATAATCCGCCTGGGTATGCGCTCGTCGTCTGTCCCCACGACATGGCTGCCCATCCTGGTTGGATTTGTTTCAGCATGGCATGGGTTCTGAGGATTTCGGTCCGTTCTAGGACTTCCGTATCGGGGACCCCATCTTTCCACCTGAGCTTCTGTATTCTCCAGGGACAACTTACTTCAACGTGATGGGGTTGTCTGGTGTGTTTGGAGTATACTTTCCACGTCTCCGCCCCACAGAGTAGCGTCGTCAGGACTACCGTACTTTTGATCTCGAGTGTCTTGTTCAGTTGAAGTCCGTGGCGGTCCCAGATTGGGGGATGTAGTTGATGGGCCACTTCGTCCTCAATGTTGATATTCCTTGGAATTGTACTTTTGGTGAATGCAAAGCTTTCCATTGATCCAAGTTGCCCTCCATTTGACGTCGATTTTGAGTTTTAACATAGCCTGCGATGTGACGCCGACTGGTGCATGACCACCCTTCTCCATGTTGATGGCCGGTACAAAGTTTGAACAACCGGAAGCGAAAAGGTCTACGCTTTGCTGAATGTCCTCTTCCGTTGAGGTATTTAGCGCATAGTCATCTGCGAGTAACATATCGGGCGTTGGTCTTGGATACCCTCGAGGACGGTTTAAGATGACGAATTGCGAACAGTTTTTCGTCTGCTTGTTAGTTTATGTCGATCCGCGGCCACTTCTCAGGGTAAGCATCCAGCAGCATGGTGGGAGACCATGACACTGAAACGGGTGGGAGCGAATACGTGCTTCTGTCGTATCCCGCTAGTCACCTTGAACGCTTCAGAGATCGACCCGTTGTCCGTGACGCGAGCCACAATCTCATCTCAAAGTTGGCTCATCCTTTGTGCGAAGTGCCCTAGACTTCCAAATCTAAGTATTATTTTTCAGAGATCATCCTGGCTGGCTGCGCCGTAGGCCTTCGTTACATCGATAAGGCTGATGTAAGGGCTGGTCCTCATCTCTTGGCACTTCTCCTGTATTTGACGGGCTGCGAAGATCACGTCGCTGACTCTGTGGTGTCGGTGGGAGCCACCATGGCTTTTTGGGGGTAATATTTGCTCAATTTGCGCGTTTAGATAACCGGTAAAAATGCGAACGAAGACCTTCTCGGCAACGACGTGCCTCCGTTATTATCACTGAGTTGTCGGTTTCCTTGGTGCTTATACACGTGTTCAGTAGTTGTTACCTTGAGATCTTGGGGAACCTTCCTCTGTCTCCACACTTCATTGAAGAGCGAGGTCAGCTTGTCCATCAGTCGGGGACTGCCGTACTTGTAGACTTCGGCGTAATTGCGTCGGATCCCGACTCTGATCGTTTCTGATAGGGAAGGCGGTAGGTCCAGGCCACCATTGGTTCCTAACTGGGGAAGGTTAGTTTATGGCAGCGTCGGATATTATGGTTGGTCGATTGAAGACAGTTCTGAACTAATTGCCCCAGCACTTCAAAATTTACAGTTTATCCGTCTGAGCTGAGCAGTAGCACGGTTTTTTGAAGGGGGGAGGGGAGGCGTAAATGGCGTTGATATAGGCGAATAAATTCTTCGTTTAATTACGGTCTCCGTATCCTTCGATTTCCTTGGCCTTGCGAGCCATCCGGGTGTCCTGCCTCTCCTGAAGTCGCTGTTGCACCACGCGGTGACTTCTGAAGAAGATCTCCCTACTTGCGTCGCTTCCGCGGTTGGCGTTGACTTTGTACACTATTCTTTCCGCAGAGCAGACTGCGGACTTCCTAGTCATTGTCGAACCAATCCTGACGGTGTAGAAGACCAAGGACGTCCAGACCGGCGTAGTGGTTGACGCACCGCAGTTGGCTTCATGGAGTCTCCATAGTGGCGTTGTCGTCCGGATTCTGCAGCTCTTCCAGACGTCGGGCCAACTGATTGCTGAGATATGAGTGATGAGCGGGCATATTCGACAGGGCGATCCTTTAGACAGTATGTTATTACCGACAAAGACAAGGGAGACTGGAGTGACCATTTCTGGCTTATTAGCCGTCGTCAGCCAGTCATACCCAACCCCGAAGTGTGTAACACCCGAGGCTCGAACTCGCGACCTGTTAGTTAGAAGTCCACGCCTCTAACCGCTGGGCCACGAAGCCGTTGTCCTGTCGGTTTCGATCGGGAATATACAATGGTAGGGGGCATTCACCGATCGTTCTTACGTAACTCACACGTTCCGTAAGAACGATCGGTGGGCACGCCCTACCAGGGCAATCCTTAATTGACCTGACGGTTGCGCACACGTAATGTAATAAAAAGCGGAAGAGCGCAGAATACTTAAGTCGAAAATCGGAAGGCTGGATTTTATGCATGTGGCCTAAGGATAATTTGTGAAGGTGGCGGCGGTGGTGATGGTGATGAGAGGAGGGTCTAATTAGGCCCCGTAAGTGACAATTGTCGCCATTGTTCCTTTGAACATTCACAGAACTTTGCTCAGTTAACTTGTCTATTTCCCTCCTAGTCGGTGGGATGCAGGATCAGGAGCTACCTGGGCCACCATTTGAGCCATACAAGGCTGCAACCACTCGAAGCCGCAGCAGCAGTGAAGCCTCGACAAAAAGTGGTGCAACTTCATCACGTGCAGGTCTTGCACATCGTGTCATCACCCTTGTACCTGCTACTTCCATCGACCGTTCCGGCAAAATCTCATTTTCGCCTCGTGCATCCAATGCCTCACCTCCACGCCCCGTGGCTACAGTCTCACCCACCTCCAGCTCGTCCCCCACACCTGAGAATGCCAGATTCTCCAACGAAATGCGACCCCGGCAGCAGGAGCCCAGCACCCGGAGTTGCGGCGTCCAGGCAGATGAGGTGGGAATTGATGTGGACATCCTGCTGCATGTAGAGGAGATGGTGCGCACCCAACGTAGTCTCGTCCTCCCAAGTTACTCCTCTCTCGTCGGTCTCACCTCGCCGCCGGCAGAGACGTTGCGTCGCTCGGAAGACCACCCTCTCTCCATGTTGGAGTGTTTACAGGAGAATGAGAGACTGCGAGAGACGCTAGCTCTGCAAGTCAAGGTACACTATTTTACTCACCCAATCCTTTTAGTTTGTTGTCTGTAATACCTGTGCTTTTAACCCCGCTCGATTTACACCGTCATCATACGGGAGAACCTGTATGCAGGTGCACTAAAGTTCTGGCGGATATGACGTCGTATTCCTCTTTCCTCAAAATCTTAAGTGGTGTTTTCCCAACCACTCTGACAACTGCCGGTGGTACACGATGACACAGACTAGAAGTGTATCTCACGTCACACTGGAGTTTTGGCTCCGAAGCTCTTAGTTAAAATAGATGTGTATAAGGTGAGAGAGTGCTTTGAATAAGAAGAAGAAGAAGAAGAAGGAGGAGGAGGAGAAGAAGAAGAAGAAGAAGAAGAAGAAGAAGAAGAAGAAGAAGAAGAAAAGAAGAGGAAGAAGAAGAAGAAGAAGACGAAGAAGAAGAAGAAGAAGAAGAAGAAGAAGAAGAAGAAGAAAAGAAGAAGAAGAAGAAGAAGAGGAGGAGGAGGAGGAAGAAGAAGAAGAAGAAGAAGAAAGGGGCCCATCGGAACGGGTTTATTTAGGTGCTGACGTTTCGAAGAGCCTTGTCGGCTCTCCATTGTCAAAGGGTAAAGTGCACTTAATCGACCAGAAATCACAATTGGCATGTCACGTTGGTCGATTTTACCCTCTTCTCGCTGCCTCGGCCTCTCGGGGGATGGTTGACGGGCGTTTTGTGTGCGTGCTTTGTGAGTCACCACTCCGTCGGGGCGAGGTGACTGAACCTTTGTCGGATAGTCGGTCAGGCGGTTCTTGTTCTTCCTCACCGAGTAAACTTACCGCCGGGCTGTCTCCATATGACCTTGTTAGGTCCAGTGTGGTTGTTTGGTTCTGAGCTCTACGGTTGTGATGACGTAGAACCTTGTAAGCTGAAGGAAGGTCCAGATGCCTGTTGATGGAGTGTGCATCTAACCACTTAGGTATGAAATAAGTAGTGTAATAATATTACCGACCTACCTTTATCGTTATCTGTCAATGATGAAGGTCGAAGACCTGTTGGAAAATGCTGTTTGTGGAAAAACACCTCAACCCTGTATGGGCGATTGCGCAGACACCGTCACTTACCTAAAAATTTCACTAGAATTACCCAATTATTAACCGTTTCTAATGTTCCCACTCCTAGAGTTTTGGAGCGTTTCTCGCAGGGCAACCTGTTTAAGTTGTTTGATAGTCGCTGTTGTAGATTACTTGCTTGACGCGTTTGATTTTTCCATAAACTACGTCCCGTTCCTTCTCACAAACCTGTTGTTGTGTAGACATGTTCCTTTTTGCAGTCTTTGGTGCGTGTGCAACCGCAAATGTAAAGATATGGAGGGAGCTGTAGGATCACGAACACCATGGAAACGAAGAGTTAACGCACTGGCGCCAGCTATGGATGGTCTGTTTTCGTATTTGGTTATTCAATGTGGAGGGGGGGGGGCTGAGAGTCACTCAACAGGTGGGCATGTTTGATAGGACGCGAACAGTCTTATTGGCTGTCGACAAGATGAGTTATCAAGCAGAAATGCAATACCTCTGCAAACTATTCTCCGAAAATGGATACCCGCATGACTTTGTACGTCAATGCATGAGGCATCAGCAATTCAATGGAAGGGGTATTTCCAATGCTACGGCCGCTCGGGCAACAAAATCAACCACCCGGCGAACTCTCCCATACGTAAAAAATGTATCTGAACTAGTCGATAGACAACTAAAAAACACCAGATACACGTAGCACACCAACCGGCAACTATCCGACGCACAGAGCTTGTACACCCTAAGGACAGGGTTGGTTACCTCGAAAAAGAAGATACTGTTTACGAAATCCCATGTTCCAGTTGTGATGCTGTCTATTGTGGCCAAACTGTCTCAGCCCGTGTACATGAACATCAGTTAACTGTGAAGAGACGCGCCCATCTATCCCAGATGGCAATGCACACACTGGACACGAATTTGCATGGGACAACACTCGCATTGTTGACGCCTGCCCAATCAGAAAAGGCCGCGAATTCCCGAAAGCAATGCATTCAGAGGGTACATGCATCAACCGGCATATCAATCTAGATGCCACATACAAAATCTTTAAGTACAAATTCTAACTGGCCCAACCAATCTCAAAGAGGTGGCAAAGTGCAATCGATACGCATTGGCACAGAGGTTGACCAATCATAGAATCCTTTGCTGGACTGAGTTAAGAAGTTGTTTTTGCACACCCATAGGCTGAAGACGAGTTGGGCTACCAGTCTCGAAAATCTACACATTAAATTCACAGTTTCCCTGAGAATCCCATCTTCTTATGTCAGTCGTTGTATAAAGTCGTTTGACAGTCGCGTTTACCCATCCGGCCCATTTGATGGCTTTACGGCTGTGTAGTTGCTTTTACTATTTCCGACCGCAGTCCTGCGGACACTAAACTGGCAGAACTCTTAATTCTATAAACAGGTGAGCCCGTTGTGGCACGACTGACTGATACCGAACAGTTAGCCATCATTAATATTTCGGTCGGCCAAATCTCCGGCGACAACACCTCTCCCCTCCCCTTCCCCCTCCCTCTCCCGACTTGTGCATTTCTACGTCACTTAGTTTTTGCTGTCTGTCGCGCTTTGATGTGTCCATGCGATTGAAGTACCATTGTGAATGGTAGCTATCTCTTTTGTATTCAAGCTTGTTTAACCTCCATGGCTAAGTGTCCTTGACCTTACCCGAGCCTGCCTGCCTACCAAACGTTTTACGCGCCATGTTGCCTATTTTAACAAAGTAGTATTGGTGCTTTCCCCACAAGGTGAACAACGATCTCAAACGTCTGGTCGCCGGTGCCATGGCAGGCGATCGCGAGCTGGCAGATCGCCTCATCGGTGTGACTGCGGAGTCCGCGGCCAGCTCACGATTTATGGAGGCCGCAGACAGCGCGACCATTGCTGCGGATATATGGCGCGCCAAATGCCTCGCCTGCCGGGTTGTGGCCGGTGAGGCTGGACGAAAGGCCGCGCGGTACGCCCGGCAGGTGGAACTGACTCGACATGCACTGGCCCACCTGCTCGGCGAGCGGACACGCCTGCGCACTTGCCTTGTTGAAGCGGTGGAGGCTCTGTTGCCGCGCGAGACTCATGCTCCCGTCCAGACCTCAGACACGCTGGCCTTGGCGGCTCTCTGTCATAAGTTGGCCCGAATCGATCGCAAACAAACCGTTGACGCCAAAAATCTGGTTGTATGCAACGGTGACACGCCCGGGGAGCAGCTGGCTGTTTCGGTGGGTCATTGATTATTACATCTGTGACTTTGCAATTTTTTGAATCCAGCGCTGCTTTAGGCTCATCTGTAGTTCTATCCAAGTTTTCTGTCATCTTTGGAGTTGCATGATGCCTTTGGATTCGTCTTAACGGAACTGGCTGGATGCAATCGTTGTTGCCACTGCAAGTGATGTTTTCAACTCTGCCTTGCCTCCAGTTGTCCGCCTTTCTCGGCCAAGTGTGGCTTTCTAGCAGACGATTGCTGTCGTTAAAGACTCCCGATGATGTTATGAGGCATACTCTACGGTAGTTTCTGCACAGCTGCCTGTTGCCTTTCTTGAAATTCGTCGTGCCTCTGTGAGTGCGGCCTCAGCTTCGAAGTTCCAGGTCAGAGGACTGCGTAACCTGTCGACTATTTCAGTGAAAGAAAAGTTCTGGCTTTCCGGTAGGAGACAGTGCTCACTAGCTCCGCTTTTTCACCAGTGACCTCCGCCCTAGATGGTCGCGGTCATTTTAGCAAAAGCAAGATATTGGGATCGGTAATCTGAGAAATGTGATGGGCTCACCGACCGACGATAGTTCGACCGCCGTCTCCGACGATGTCCACCGCGTGCCCCACGGTTGGGTGGACATTGGGACGACAACTTATGCCTGCCGTTCCCTTATCTGGTCTCTGTCTTGGTCAAACGCATCTATCTCGTGACCCGTCTTTGGAACATTTCGCCGACCACTAACCCCTACTCCCGTTTCAAACTTTCTTTCTGGAAAAATCGTCTCATCTGGAATATCCAGCAGCACGCGCTTTGTTAGATAGGGAACTCCGATTTTGCATTTCTAACTGCAATTTTACCCTTATCTGCCAGTACCGAGACCGAAACCCCGACACCACTTTTCGTGAGTCCGAAAAGTACTTTGTTGTATCCAAATTAACCTTTCGGTGTCCGCTAGTGGGTGTGTTCGTACTTACTAGCTCATTTCCCTCTGCTACTCTATATTCTCGCAGTCCTACCTTTGATCTAGTCCTCTTGCAAACCAGAGTATGCCCTCCACAAGCATTTTCTTTAGATGTTGCATTGCTCTCCTTTTTGAAACATCAAGTACTTTCTTTGAAAAGTTGTCGCATCATTCCACTAGGCTTTGCTGAACTCTCAGTGCGCGGAATCCCCCGACCATACATGCGAAAGCGACCCCCCTTCGCCGATCCCGCCCCCGCACCTGCCACCCGCTCCACAGTCTCCGAAAGATGAAAGCGACTTCGTCTCGAAGGCACTTAGTCGATTCCTCAGCATAAGGTCCCAGGACACTGAAAGCACCCGTTTACTCGCCTGCAGGCACTGCAGAGGCGATATTCTTGACCTCTAGGAGGATCCTCCCCCCCCCCTCCGCACGCGCTGCCTTTCGGCACAATCATTCGTCTTTCATGAGTTTTACTTTATTTTGGCCCCTCTGTGGAAATCGTTTTTTCTGTGGGCTGTATCTCCCCGGTGTATCCCATTTCATCTCCGGTTATCGGAATACACTAATTGACATTACAAAGCTAACATCTACGTATTCTATAGTGCTTTAGATGGTGATATTCAAAGCAACGCAGATAAGGTAAGTAGGCTTCTTCATTGATGAATATAATGGATGAGCTCGTTTCTGAGCTCAACGTAATTCAGCGCTGTTTCCTAGTCAACCGGCAAATACGGCTTATCTTACTGGGGCTCGGTTTTACTGCCCACCATCGTCCCTGCTCTATGACTTTGTTGAATAGATAAGGCAGAATGTAAGCGAACGCGCTTTTTGGTGGCATGATGCCGCGTCTTCCGTGGATTTGCGTTAGAAAGGTCTCCACAGTTCTGTCGAATTGCGTGACATCAAACTTGCTACTGAAATCATTGCAGTAACGTGTTTATATGTTGATTGACTTAGGATGTCTGCCGGACTACGACTTTCTTCGTAGAAACACTGGGCGACACATCTTTCGGTTGTGTATATCGGCATGAGGTGTGTGCGTTAGTCATTAAAGCCTAGTTGCGTTGCCCACGGCAATGAGAACCTTACGCGTGTACTTAGGAATTGGTGTTTATGAAGTAAATCCATGCCTGGGCACTTATCTGATTGAAAAGTCAGTTTACAAACATAAGTTTTCGATAACTCGTCAGCAGACCAATACATTTACATGGGTAATGATCCTTTTGATTGCGCATGGAGTATAAATGCGTCTCAGGGGGCAGGGTTCGTCAGACTGACTGATACCTGTCGCATGCACTGTGTGTGTTTAACATACAGACAGCGCTCACAATCTAACGCGCACCCCCCAACTTTCCCCTCCCCTCGCCCCAAACCCACCGTCCTCAACACGCTGACTACGTCATGCCGGCGGCGTGGGAACATGGAGTCTGACTACCTCCGCCTCCTGAGATGCATTTATACTCTGTCCACGATGATGAGTTACCGGAAACATGTTTGTCAACTGACTTTTCAATCGTAACATGGGAATTTTCACAGAAATTGTCTAATTGCTGGCGTTTTCAGCTTCACGTACCAGAGGCCCCGAATTTTTATGCTCAATCGCCTTTAAGTTAGTTTCCTTATTGGAGGATGCGAACTTCGCTAAGCACTGCCAGACGGCATACTGCTCACTGGAATATCCGTCAGATCGATTCAAAGATCACCCTTCTTTGGATGTGTGCCTAATAATCCACCTCGAAGATCATATATTAATTACGTTGCGTGTGCGTCTGATCTTCTAACAAGCCGATAATCTGGAAAGGCCAGTGTTCTCTCCCAAAATCACCTTTTCCTAGAAATAGCTGCCTATAGGACAGGAAAAGGTGCAGTACGCACTATAGCCTATCAGAGCAGGACCCGACAAGCAACGTGTGCAGGTTGGTGTCATGAGGATATTCTAATAGGCTGCTTGGACAAGAAAATCGGCCGGAAATAAATTGGTATCCTGTCCACTGTGCAGGGGTCTCAAGTGTGGCGGACTTTCAACACAGGATCGAACCATTCACCGCTAACCAAGAGCTCACATGTGGCCTGCAATCAAGAGAAAACAGAGTTTGCTAACCGGACCGCTGCAGGTCGGACAACTGAAAGTCTTGGTCCTTACATCTGTATAAACTCGGCGCCAGTCACAAATTTTTGGTATTTCGGCCACGAAGAGCGGTTTGCGGTAAGCATGATTTAGTTCCGCTGTGCATGTTTATTTTGCTCCGCGTACGTCATGTCAACTAGATGGCTACCAATCAATGTTACTGACAATGCTCGGTGTTTCGCCTATATGCATGACGCCACGACGGCTTCAACAGTTGCATCCAGACTAATTTACTTTTTACCATGATGCCAGAAAAGTGTCTGGTCGAAATAGTGCACCTCTGCTGGATTTATGGAACAATAATTTGTCCAAGCAGTTTTCGTTTAGTCTGTTTTGCCCCTCAAGCCATCGCCTACGTGTTATGGACTTGCCGCATGCCTAGCTGGTCGTCCGTTCAACTCGCCTTGATCGAATTTCAAATCTAGAACTTAATAGGAAGCACGTAAAAAAGAATTCTATTGGCCTATCTTCACAGCTCATCTACGGCGGTCAAAGGAACACAAGGCGATGTCGGCTGCCGAACTGGGGTTGGACAAACCAGATAGCGTCCTTGAGTGATTACCAGGTCGACTGCACTTTTGACTGGCATCCAGCCCTGACGGTGATTGGCGCGATATCAGCTTGCGTATGACGTGCAAGCGGATCGATAGGACCACGTGAGAACGAATCGATTACGGCGGCTCACCCTAACACTGCCTATGGACGATTAGTTACCAATCTTCTTTAAATATGTGTACGTCCGCCAGGGGTCCCAGGTATTTCCGTTTTAGTAATATCGAAGAAACACCTAGACTGTTTTCTCTACTACTGAATACTTTGGGAACTAGAGTAGGTGTTAAATCTCGAGAAATATCGATTGCAATTCGGAAATACGTTTTCTGGTGGAAAGGACATCTTAGTAGTCGTAATGGTGATTACCGTGCAGCATA